AATTGGATGGAAATAGAACTCAAAAAGGAATTGAATATAATCAAAATATTATCACAATCAATTTCCAATCGCACAAGTTATATTCCAGATTTTTAGCAGAAGATTGATACCCATTTTTGGCACTGTAAAATTGGAAAATTTCTATTCTAGAAAATTTTTAGCCCTTTGATCCAGCTTTTCAACTCACTTTGAATCGTACCAATCGGATATCGGGAGAGAACGTTATGGCCAAAATACTGACTGTTGTGTAGAGACAAAAAATCCGCGCGTGAATGAAACATTCTTTATTCGATTGGAACTCTTTTGGAAACCAAATTAGATGTGATTTTCAACCAATTTTCGATTCTTACAAATATAATAGCTGAATACATGAAGGGAGGAAAAAAAGACTTTTGAGAGAAGAAAAGAGGCAAGAACGCGAAGATCCAATTCAAGNCTACAAATATAACAGCTGAATACATGAAGGGAGGAAAAAAAGACTTTTGAGAGAAGAAAAGAGGCAAGAACGCGAAGATCCAATTCAAGAATCGAATTGGTGATGTCGTTCTTTATTATTTTTCTAATTTTTTTCTTCCCACCATGCTAGGCTAGACTAATTATGTAATAGGTGAATGATGAACCTTGCATTATGATATTTTAATTTCTATTTTGTAATTTAATATTTAAACACGTTTGATATATGTTGAATGATTTATATACACTTTCTTCTCTCCACAATTATAGTACACAATAATTGTGTAAGTTTTGGTGGTTTATTTTATGCATTCTAAAGAAGAGAAATAAACTCAATAAGGTATAAATCATCTTAGGGTTCATAGGGATAGAAATATACCGCTATACTTTATGTGAATCTTTAAGTGTTTACAAAACGTCATGCATTCTTGTGTATTGCAGTTGTCATAGTTGTCATAGAAATATAAATGTTATGCTAGAATAGGTTCAATTCTACTCGAAAGAGATTGTTGGATAAGTTAGAAATTTTGATTCTTTAACGAATTAATCGTGTTATCAAATTGTGAAATA